GAAGATAAATAACACACACACACACACACACATATATATATATATATATAACCTTAAAAAATCAGTGACAGGGTACCACCTGCCCTCTGGCAACTTTTAATACCGTGGAATATTTACGCAGGTTATAAAAATGTGGTAATGGCAATATTAAATCAGTATTTCTTTTTTTTAGAATTGGATATTTATTAATTGAGTTATGGAGGGGAAGGAAAATGAGGAGAAGGGGATGAGAGAAAGAGAAAAAGAAAGAAGAGAGAGAGAGAAAGAGGGAGAGAGAGGGCCTCTCCGAGAGAGGGGACAGGAACATTAAATCAGTATTTCTATAAACCAGACCTTATATGTATATAAATTCTACTTTCATTAGCCACATACTATTACATTTGCCTTTATATAGGACAGGTATCCAAAGCACAGAGGTGTTAACTGATTGCTCCAAATCACACAGCTTGGAAAGCAGTCAACCCTCCCAACTTGCCATTAGGATGTCTAGGATTACAGCTACACACTGAAGATTTGAATTTGGGACTACAGCTCATGTGGTGAGTGAGTGCTCTATCCACTGAGCCTTCTCCCTACACCTATATTTCTCTTTGATATGGGGGGGGGTCTTTGGATCTGAAAGTTGGTGGAATATGGTTAGCTCCAAATGATCTGGGTCATTAAAGCCTCCTGCTCATTAACAACATGCCAAATAGGCAATGACAGTATTTGACAAAGGGAAACTTAAAAATGAATAACTATCACACCTTTTTTCATTATCTTATAATGAAACTGTGCAGCATAACCTTAATGTTTATACCCACTATATAATAAAGTGCTTCCAGTAGAAATTCCTGTAACTCGGATTTGTTAAACGCACAAACTTAAAGGTGTGATAGTTGCTAAGGGATCATTTTATGCAAATTAGACATCAGCCTATTTAGGCGCTGGTTGTGACCTTCCCTATCAAACCCTCAGCTGCGCTAGTATCAAAGGAAAGTTCAGCACATTTTAGCAGGTGGAACATTGCTCAAGTAATTGCTTTTCAAAAAGCAAGCAGTGGTTCTGGGAGATCAAGTTAATATCTTGGGGGCAGGAGCTTGGTGGATTGGACTAATATGCAGCATTTAAGGAACAATGCTGGTGCCATTATGAAGAAGGCATCACAGGGTATTTTCAGGCAGGTGATGGCTTAACTACCTGTACAGCTAATGCAGGAAGAATAATGATGCAAGTTTGAGCAGTGATTCAGAAGTAGATTCACCAAGTTTCATCATGAAGTTAATTGGATGGGGGGAGAGCTGCGAAAGATGGCATTAAAGTAATTCAGAATGGAGTCCCAGCCGGATAGTTGGGCGAATGCTCATGAAATAGGTTTTAAATGACAGAAAAGTTAAAAAGGGAAACCTTGGCTATTAAGAAAATAAAAGGGGAGCAAATTGAGATGTTCGATGGGGACAGGAACTAAAAGGGGGAATGCACCAACGAATGAGTCTCAAAGGGAACTCCCAAACAACCCAGGCTATTGCCAAGTGTATTGGTTATTCTCTGCAAACTGATGTAAGTCCCTATTGCTGAAGACGGGATCTATACAACTCATTGAACACGGAGAAGGCACACTGGTGCCTACCAAAGACTTTATCCTTACTGAGTAGTTTTTGGTATACTGAAAGATACTCTGGATGCTACCAAAGAAGAAAGGTAAACAACAGCCCAGCTGCAAACTCTTTGACAATGGCGACCTGCCCCAGGATGCACTGCTGCAAGAGAGACATACTTGTGAGGGTAACCAGCCAGTACCTGATTGCATTTACAGTCCACTCCTTAAGATGGAATTCATCTTAAGCTCTGGTGACCAAGATACCTAGGAGAAAATGAAGGCGTAAGTCACAAACAAGGCAACACCAGTTTGGAGTTATGATTAATAGGGTGTTCTTTATTTAAAGGGGAAAAAAAACTTACAGATCACAATCCCAGACAACAGCCATCTGCACAACCAGGAAGGGAGTCTAGTCTCCAGCGGAGCAGGAAGAGAAGAGAGCGAGCAGAGGAAATAGCCACTTTTTTAAAGGGAGAGAGACCACGCCCCAATGAGCTGGTATCACAGCAGCTATTGGTTGGAGGGGCAGAAGGACCTCCCGCAACACCTCCCCCTTTTGTTTAAGTAAGAGAGTTCTAAACCTACTATGAAATTATATACAATAAGTACAAATATCCTATTCTAACTAGCTTAGGTCTTGTATAATAAATAACTTGGCCAAGTCGTGAGAGAAAATTAACTACATTTATATAGTCTTCAACCCCATCGAAGATCTGAGAAGGGAAATAATGTTACCTGGGTAATTAGGAAGTTCAGTAAAACAACTTCCAAAACATGCAACAAATCACAGAGACAACTAGCTACCTGGGCAATCACCTAAAGTCATGTTTGCAGCGTTGAAGCAACCAACTTTGGCTAAGGCCTAACATAACTGACATACCATTTTCAAAGGCAAGCAACTTTTCAAAACTATCTTACCCTGTCTTGGCAGGATATGACAGTCCTGTTTTATTTATTGATGCACGCTCTGTATCTCTGTCAGTTGTTGAGGTACTAGCCCTGAAAATGGATGGCGCTGGAGCGTCAGGCCCATACCCGGCCGTCGCAAGGCACAGGCCGCGGCTAAGGAAGGGAGGGCTCACGCCAAGCCGAACTCGAGCGGGGGAAGGAGAGGTCTTAAAAGCCCCACGTTGGGCACCAGATGAAGGCGTAAGTCACGAACAAGGCAACACCAGTTTGGAGTTATGATTAATAGGGTGTTATTTATTTAAAGGGGAAAAAAACTTACAGATCACAATCCCAGACAACAGCCATCTGCACAACCAGGAAGGGAGTCTAGTCTCCAGCAGAGCAGGAAGAGAAGAGAACAAGCAGAGGAAATAGCCGCTTTTTTAAAGGGAGAGAGACCACGCCCCAATGGGCTGGTATCACAGCAGCTATTGGTTGGAGGGGCGGAAGGACCTCCCGCAACAAGAAAATCAAATATTACTGTTCTGCTAAAGGAATGTAGCAACAAAATGACTCCCAAAGACATTCTGCTATGCTTATAGGTCAGTGTCTTGCTCAGCCATCATCAGAGAAGCTTCCTCCTGCAGCAGATGGAAACAAATACAGAGGTCTAAAACAGACAGCAGGCAGAGAATGAGAGACCGTGGAACACTCAGGCCTGAATGAGATGTTGCAATCAATTCTTCCACTCATGGCTCAGTGAATCCTGAGGAGGAGGAAGCAGAAGTGAAAAGACTGTAAGCGCCAGAGGGGATGGAGGACACCAAGGAAAAACATCCTTTTAAACACAATAGGAACACTGCACACGTGAACTCACAGAGACTGCTGCACAGGGCCTGCGTGGGTCGGAGTCTGATGGGGTCCCAGTGCTGAGAGTGGGAATGGACACAAGCCCACAGCCCTGACCCACAGGCTACATCCAATTGAAGACACTTGCCCAATTTGTTCTCTCCAATGGAGTCTCAGGAGGAAAGCAAACCACTCTTAAGGGCATATCTCATGCCCACCAGCAGATGGCCAATGCAAAACAAATTCAGTGGTAGTTTGGAGGAATTTTTTGTCTCACAGTGCTTTTTTCTGGACATATATCTCTCTTTCACCTCTCTCTCTCTCTCTCTCTCTCTCTCTCTCTCTCTCTCTCTCAATTACCTTTCAGAGGTCTTTTGCTCATACATTATGGTTCCAATTTTGTGTTTTTATGGAATTTGAGTGGTTGTCAATGCATGTCTCACTCTGTATCTATATGTGATTTTTGTGTGTGCTTTTTCTTTTGCTCTTTTTTTTTCTGTTCATTTGTTGTTTTGTCTAATTTGGTTTTTTTCTCCTTTCATTTTCTTTTTTTTTTTTAGATGCCTGCTTGTTTTTGAATGAGGAAGAACAAGAGAGGATGTGGATTTGTGTGGATGGGTGCTGGGGAGGCTTTCGGAGGGGAAATTAGAGTACGGTAAACAATAATCAGAATATACTGTATGAAAAAAATCTATTTCCAGTTTAAAAAAAGGACATGTAAGTTAAAAATTGAGAATATAGACTGTGCCTTGTATTTACTAAAATAAGAATTTTTAAAAATTTAATTAAAATATAAACACAATACTATTTTTCTTCCTTAACCTCCTTTCTACCTCTAACATGTCCCCAATCCCCAAACTTACAGCCTTTTCTTCCTGTAATCATTGTTGTTACATATATGTATTAATAGAAAGCAAACAAATACAAACTGCTGCGACCATCCAGTGTCACTTGTATATGCATGTTTCTAGGGCTCAGCACTTGGCTTCTTTAAACCCATCAGGAGGGTCACTCACTCATAAGACTAATCCTCCCCAATAGATCAGCCCCCACTGTCTCAGTGGGTGGGTGCACCCCCCGTGGCCAGCTGGACTGTGACTGAAAAAGCATGGGATAAAACCAGACTCTCTGATCATGGCGAACAATGAGGACTGATGAGAAGCCAAGGTCAATGGCAAGGGGTTTTGATCCTACTTCATGTTCTGGCTTGGTGGGAGCCTAGCCAGGTTGGATGTTCACCTTCCTAGACATGGAC